CATACACATAGGCCCAGACCTATATAACCCTATATGCCTATATCCCAGTATATAAAGTGTTATATATATTATATTTTGTATTATTTCTACCAATATTTTTATCAGGAGGCCCAAACAATTTGTACATACCTGGATATATATAGGCCTATACATAATTACAACATAGAAGCATTACTGTACGTTTAAATAAACCCCGGCCTATTAAAACTGGCCCTCAAATTCGTAACTAGGTGCATTGAGTGAGTGGAGCTGCAGTGAAACGAACGTAAGGAGGGGAGCGAGAGGCCTATGGTTATCGTTAATAGTCTGGAAGTACTATGAAAAACTATGATCCTTTTTATAATTTGTTGATTTGCTACACACAAGTAATTTACATCTATGGTCGAAGTACACAAAATTGAAAGCGTTCGTTGGTAACTCATTTTAAATCTAGGCCTATAACATTCAGATGCATACAATTTATAATGTTGGGTACAAACCTGGAAAGAACGAGCATACATTACAAATAATAGTCAAGCGACAGCATTTTAAAAACTAATTTAAAACGATTTATTCAACATGAGCTTTTGGGAGGCATCAATACTTCTCCAAGCCTCACTTCATCTGATGATGAAGGTTAATGGTACCGCCGAAAAACTGACGTTGAATAAATCGATTGACACTGCTGTAAAAATGCGTTTCTTCATGCAGTACGGTACATACTGTACATTGAAATATCTTAAGCCGACGGTCATCGTGGCCGACGCGATGCTATGTTGAGAATGCAACGCCACGACGTGTGCGCAACGTTTTTAATGACGATCCGTTCAGTCTGCCTGCCGCTGATAAATCAGCGGACGGCGTGACGTTGTTTATCGCTCACAGGGAGCGGAGGATTCGTCGGCCGACGGTCGTGCAGCACTCGGCTTTATACACTGAAATTTAATTACACGAGAATAAAAGGGACATTTTTGTAAATTCACATTCCCATTATTAAAAAAACATCTTTTATATGATTATTCGCTATCTTTTAAAATATACAATATTTCATTCCGTTGGAAATATAGATGCCTAGATAAATAAATCTATAGGAATTGAAAATGTCCATTTAACTTTCCAGTTCCTTATTGCTAAAAACGCAGACGATAGGTCTACATTGCGCTACCCCGAGCTGCTCTATATCGTCCTCAAACAACTGAATCGGACAACATTCACCGTATTAAAAATATGTGGCATACATCCATCTTTAAAATACAATTTGTTGCCTGTTCCTTCTGGTGAGTTGGCACTAACCCTAACGGGTTCATTAGTACATTTCAATCGAAGCATACGGTAGACGTTTGAATACCGTAGGCGCCGCACTAGTATACCGCCCTGACAAGGTACAGTATTTCGTCAAGTGAAAAACATATACATATTAGTCATATAGACCTCTTAGTTTGAAACCGTACGAATTATAACTGGCAGTTAAGGTGCTTAAATTTCAATTCCACATTCATGGGTTTCTTCTCTCTAATTTGCGAGTTGCTCACTGCTGCTGTTGTGGGACGAAAATACAAATCTATTTACTTTCGGTGATATTTAGATGAATTCTTGCTGTTCCAACTTGCTGAATTCCAACTTGCTGTTGGACGAGCTAGAACAGGGAACATTGTAATTTCTCTGTTCCCTGACTATAGACCTAAATACCGGTACCGTGTTACTGGTACGTCATTCCGAACACTGCGTGAACTACTCTAATAAGTAACACTCAATTGTATTATCACTCCGAAAACAAATTAATTATATAAAGCCATGAGAGATATTTCTGCTTATTTATAGCGCATAGGATATTTGTGCCGCATATTATGATCACTATGGCAACAACGTAACCGGTACGGCGGTGACTTAAAACAAAAGGATCCGAGCCTCAATTATTCAATTAGCGATTGCGACAGGTAAGTAGTTAATTGATAATGCAAATCAATCTTTGAAATATTACAGCGAGTGGATATTACATTGGACACCAGACAGATCCAGAATGAAGAACGTTTCAGACTATTTATGTGTGCCGCCATACTATCTAGGGCATATCAAATAGGTCTACTTTAAAGCGATGGTGATTCATCTACTAAACATTCAACTCGTTCAGTCTGAAATGTCAATTCGCAATGCAATTGTAAAGCAAATTAAAGGTCATAATGAGATTTGCTTTTGACCCAGAGATGATCCAGACACTTCAAAATACTTTTATATCCTATTTCTTTTTTGAGCGGATACTATTCTGCATAGGCCTACTAGTGTTTCCTGGTTGTTTCAGTAGCCACAGCCTTCCCCTATAATGGTCCTTCTAATTCTTCGCAAATTAAAGGTGAAATGTTGTTGAGAATTACAAAGGGATTAAACGGATTTATTTTTGAGTATAAAGAGTATCTGATTTACGGCAACTGTCCTGACGTATTAGCGTCATATCACGTGACCTCGAACACTGTATAGAAAATTAGTTCGTTTAAGTTTAGGCCTACTACATTCTTAAAGTAGGCCTATCCATCAAGCAGCAATTAACAACGGCACTTCCACCCGGAACGATGACATTGCAAAATAAAACACAATGAATATGCAGTACTTGTTATTATATTTGCATTCTTCTTAGTGGGATTATCCATGCATGAATCGTTCCATAACAAAAACAGGGATATGCCAGATTGTTAGTGTAACTCATTCACTGTGAAGGGGTCGCTGGGTTTCTAACCATCCCGGTTGAAATTTCAAAACCTCTTAAGCCTCTCAAAGATCTGCTTTGGTTATCTCTTAAAAAAAAGCTATGTCATCCTCGCAGCAAAAATAAATATCAGCACTCAACAGGATATGTAGGTGCAGCCTATGTTTTGTTTGTTTCTTTTTAATTTTAAATCACAAAAAGTGAGTCCATGCAGAAACACCTATCGCGTCGTCCGTCATGTCACAGTAACACACACAGGAATAATTTTTCCCATCATTATTATCCCAATACCTTTTCGCTGAAACATCGTACCTGATGGCAAAATACACGGAACTGCCTTCTGGCAGGTCCCGTGGAACCGACAAACCAAATGAAAATCGATCAGTGGGCCCGTTGTGAGACCCAGGTACATAGGTAGCTAGTATTTCATTAAACGTCCTCCACTTGTCTATCGTATACCGAACGACAACCTTCTTATGATAATCAATATTTATTACTTTTATAGTGCCGATAATCATAAAATCAGATATCAATGCGTTTTCAAGACAGACGTTTTGTTTCCAAAGTTTATGCATAAAATCCGACTTACCGCTTGGTTGTTGGAATGTTAAAGATAACGAAACGCGAGTACTAGATGTTGACGCGATTTGAAGATCTCTGAAGGCATGTTGTGGGATATCTGGTGGTGACTCGCCCTCAAGAATATGCTTCACAGTTTCTAAGTCAAGTCCAAGAGCATCTGCAAATCGGACAGATTTCCTATTAGGGGTATCAGGGCGTAGGCCTGGTGATTTTAAAGCTGATTTTCTACGTCCACTACAACTATCAGAATCCGAGGGAGTCGTACAGGAAGATGAGAGGGAGTCAGGACCATCACTGTCTGTACCTGCGTCTGGCGTCACATCCCCTGACGAGGATGCATTAGAGTAGTCCTGGATGGGGGCGAGTTTGAACAGCACCGTGTCCACTTCATCGTCTTCGGTCATTCCATCACTTAACATAAACTGTTCCTGCCCTTCGCTAATTAAGTCATTAAAGTTACAATCACTATTCTGGAAAACCCTACCATTAGTGAAATTTGTTATTAGCCGTAATCCAGTCGATTTTCCGGGTCGCGATCGGCCCGCTTCGGACGACGGGGCAGTCTTCGAACAAGTCGGAGACTCGTTGTCCTTATCGCAGTCATCTTTGATCTTGCTTAAAGCAGAAAGCGTATTGTTATTTTCCGGTTGTTCCTCTTTCGTTAAATCCACCGTTCCATTTTCAATCATATTTAGCGGTTCCAACTGGTTGAAAATAAGCGACAGGTAACTACAGCTCCCAGTCTCACCTGCAGCATATTTCCTACTGAACTGTTCTATAGGTCTACCGATTGCTTGTTTACATTCAGCAGCCATGTCAAGCTAGCCAATCCGATCTTCTATATTGAACGGTTCCAATCATTGCCTTCTCAATATATATTGACGTCATAAATGTTATCCGGGGATAGCGCACCTATTAAGCATGCATTTGTGTGCAAACAGAATAGTACTTATACTTACTGTATGTTTATACCTCCGAGGTAAGAACAACATCAGTACCATAAGAAGAATAAATAATGCTAACTTTTAAAAACAAAACTGAAAATGATGAGACGGATGTAGGCAACTGTCCTGTTACCGTACTTTCGATAGGCTGCATGTGCAGTGTCCTCATCCTATGTACATAAATCCTTGATTTCCGTCATATCCATGGAAAACATCTTCATGCATTATCAATGTAGCCTTATTTATTACGTATTTGTTAAACCGCATAGGCCTATATCTTTAATTGACCTAAATTTTATGTACTTCAGAATGTACTGAATAAATAGGCCTACATGCTATTCCTGGGCCTATACAACCCATTCAGTACATCTCAAACAGGGAAATCGCAAGTCCCGGCTTATTAAAGCATCTGTCAATAATGTTTATTCTTAGTTATAGTTGCTATTAATGATTCTAGTTTTTCTGACCGATGTATGAGTCTTATTCCCATATCCTGATATCATACCACGTTAATGTGGCCTCAACAGCTCACATTGGCTAAAAATAGCGTCGTTACGTCACACTCTTGAGCCGTGTTTGTGTCACTGATTTTTAAAAAAAATTTCATTTGATTCACAATTAAAATCAACTATCAATAAATTTCTGATATAGAAAAAAACAAATATAATACAGAAATAAAATGAAAAAATCATTCAATTTCATGCTTGCAGAGATTGGACGAGCATCTAGTGTCTGAGACTTATGAAGATTTAGCCGTTGGTTTCGTGGATGTGCATATAAAATAGGAAAAGTCTCCCAGTGAAAGCTAGATTAAAACCAATCCATGCGTAACGCTTTGCAATGTAGGGCCTACTAGTAAGCTAGGTAGACGTAAAAGAGGCGTGCCAACACTTGTCACAATGTTGCTGAAATAACTTTACAGTACTAACCAGGAAATGATAAAAATGCGCCTACGAAAGTTACCAGTATTAGTACCTTGAAAGTATAGCAAGTTGATGCTGAACTTTAAAGGACGTCACAAACTTGGTGGTAGTAGCCTACACAGTAATATCTAGGCCTACCGCCCCGTTTACTGACTGAAAGAATGCATTTCGTCACGTAGGCATTATTTATGTAGATGCATTTGTAAGCTCTAAAGACTACAATAAAGATAATGACAGACAAACAGTTTTGGTCACAAAGAGTTAAAAAAAATGCAAAGAATAATATGATACAAAAAAGAAACAGTGATGAGGAAGAGAGTCACGTGACGTGTTCAGGCCCACAATGGAAGGGAATTCCCCTTTTTTGGAGACACGCTTTGAGCTCTGAGCAGCTGTAGGAAGTCGAACTCAACAAGCGATAACTTCGACTCTCTTCTTCCGCCGTACAGGAGTTAAAAAAAATGTCTTCAGATCATCGCTCGTGTGTTGTGTATAAATTTTTATGAATTAAGGACGCTATAATATTCAGTGAGAACAGACCTCAGTGAACAAACAACTAATCGTCTTTGTAATTTTGAATTCGTTCTATTCTTCACTGACTTTTTATTTTCTTTATTGTAGGCCTACTGTGTTTTGTTCAATACATAGAATTGTCATATAACCAGGGAGATGTAAACGATTTTTACATCTCCCTGATATAACCATCACCAACACTACCAACACTACCAACACCACCGTCACTACCAACACCACCATCACCACCACCGTCCTCATCATCATCATCATCATCTTTCATCATCATCTTCATTCATATTACTGTATTATATACTGTAATACTATTTTTATTTTTATATTATCATTATTAATGTTATTATTATTTTCATTTTGCTTTTGATATTACTGTAATATTAATACTGTATAATATTATCATTATTAATTATCATTGTTCATAAAAACTTGGGTACCTGCAACGTAACAATTATTTGTCCTTTGACCTCGACGTGTGAACTTCTTTGAGAGGAAGGCACGAGACTGTGCGCGGTGAGGCGGAACCGATTTTGTGTGGCGTGTAGGCCAAGGCCTAGGCTAGTGTTCTTTAATTCCCATCCCCTTATGAATATATTACTGGTTTTCCAATTACTTGAAGTCAGTATTTGTTAGGTAAGATTCCGTTAGATTATTGTGTAACGCGTTCTGTAAATATGATCATAGGTTGATCAGTGTTTTTACTCACAAAATGTGCTGTGTTACTGCTTTCACTCAGTGCTTCCCTGGTCTGAGCCTAGCCTAGGCCCTACATACAATGCTGTGGTGGGCCAGGCTGGACCTAGGCCTAGGTTAGTAGTAGTAGTACTAGTAGTGTAGGTGCTGCGGTTGTGGTACTGCCTAGCCTAAGTTTGTGGGATTTTCCATTCATGTATACGGTTTTCAGGTTATTCGTGTGATATTGTACTAGGTTACGGTAGGCCTATTTCTATGCGAGAAATCAAAACAAATTTGACCAGACAGAACTTAACCTTACTTAAAAAAGGTCGTATTTTAGGCCTGCCTGCGGTTTATGTGGATCACATAATCTGACTGAGCTAGCCTGGACCTAAGGCTACGGTCTACATCTAGGACTGCAAAACAAACAACAGGCCCAAGCAGACTATTAGACAGGGTTCCAAGCAGTGATGGTAAGGGGGTGGGGGAATAATAGGCTTCCTGAATGCGGGTGCTATAGCTCCCTCAACCCCGTCTATCACCACCACTGGTCTTCCTGTTACTTGTGGGAGTCTCCCGGAAATTTGGATGACTCCTGCAACTGGATAAAAATCACCCGGAAAATAACCCATAGACCCAGGACTTCATTAAATCTGCATGTTTTTACTACGTAACTGTATTATTGTAACCCTTTTAAAAAATTAACATGACATTTGTCTTGACACTGAACTCTGTGTTGATTGGTGTCACCCTAAGTAGCAAAACAAAGTTAGATGTGTTGAGAAAGTTTCTTTAAATCTGTCTGATGGAAATTTTCCATGGGAGGGCATATTTTCACACTGTATTCCCTTTACTTTATACTCTTTGATTCTAGGCATCTGATTGGTTGAAAGTGGAGGAATAAAATTACTATACACAAAGTATAGTCACTCTCGCAGATGCATTAGTAATGTGTCTAAAAAGCCTGCTAAAGAGGAAAAAATTCAATCTAGACCCCCGGCCCGCCAAAGATTTTAGTCCGGCCTGAGCAACTTTTTCAAAAAATAAATCAATCCAAATTATAAATTCTTTTCTGTTTTTAGAAACACCAACTAGGAACCCCTATAGGAACCCAAAAAAGCTTTTTCTGAGTGTATCTCACAGTATCTAGTGGTGTAGGGTATTGATGTGGGGAGGGGAGACTAATGAGGATAATGGGTTAAGTGGGCTGCTGATATAATGTGATGTCTAACCATTTGTGGCACTAGAAGGCTCGGGGACATGTTATTCTGTTGAAAACACTGGTTCAAAAACTTATTTTTTAGTCTGAAAGTGCCATTTTCCAGGAATCTAGAGGTATCTGTGTTAAAAATTTGCTCACCTGGACTTCAACCACTGGTGAGTGGATATTTTTGTGGTAGTCAAATTTCTAGTGGCAGGGTAGGAGAAACTGGAATGCAAATGTTTTTTTTTTTTTTTTTGAATTCTAAAAATCTAAAAGTAAAATTCTAAAATAAAATGGAGAAGAAAAGAAACATCATATTCAAATTTAGGTCTGAGAGTACCTTTTCTGACCATCGAGAGGTGCCATAATAAATTTTCTTGCCTCAGCCCCACCATGCTGGGGCTGAGGTGGGATTTTCCCCCTGTCTATGAAAGTTCTTCCCTGGCCCCTTCTATTTCGAATTCACCTTTTTTTTTAAATGGGTGGGGTGGACATAGAAAAAAATGGAAGTATACAATTATGTTGGTCGGCCCGCCGCTGGTCTTACCAGATTGGAAGTGGCCCCCAGCTTAAAAAGGTTGAATACGTGGGATCTAGACTTGGCCTAGAAAGGCAGCTTTAATTGCCATTGTTACACTAGGCCTAGGTAAATAGATAAAACTTTGATCATACATCTAGTCTAGGGCTTTGTCCACACTCATTCTTTGATAAAAAAAAAAAACTGCTGTATGTCCATACATAGTCATGATGTGATGTCATCATGACATATTTAGACATGTTACATGACAGGACTTGTATGTTGAAACAATTTCCACCAAGGTTGAAAAAATTTCGACCATGAAAAGGCTCTTTTGTATAGCGCATCCTTCAGTCAATATACAACTATATATTCACGAATGATAATAAAATATTAATTGGTTTTGTATAATGTACAGTAAACCAATCAAAATCTTAATTTGAAATCTCAAGAACCAGTCAATATGATTTAAAGCTTATAAACTCACTCAAAATTAAACTTTTATTTTGATTTAAAAAAAAAATACTAACTCAGGAGTAAGCAACATTTGTAGTACTGTAATTGAACAATTAAAGGTGCAGTTAGCTGTATTTCAAATACAACTCAAAATCTACAGCTACAGTAATATACACTTTAATAAAAATGCAGTTGCATTTTTAAATTTCAAATTACTGTAGCTTCAACTAAAAATTACTATGAGAGTATCATACCAATTCTATTCTTAGCATAGAGTTAAATGTTTCCATTGTTTAGGTAGAGAAGAGCGAAGGAGTGTCCTTATTATTTTGTATTAATTTTGAAAATTCAGAAGTGGATTAATTGAAGCTGTTTTGAGATGGTATAAGTTGGTCTGTTAATTTGATGTGCTTGTAATCAATGTTTTTAAGTTGTGTTTCGGATACACCTTTGTTTAAAGTGCCACTGCCACTGATGTAAGTGTAAGTCCAAATAAATATTATTATTATTATTGTTAAATTTCTTGAAGCAAAGTATGATTTTGTAGTATAAGTCTCTGAGAACTTTTTTTAATGTGTGATTATTGATTAAAAGTTGATGTTCTTTTTAAAAATATATTAAAAGTTTTTTTTATTGATTTTTGGGTGGCATTCTTTAACTTAAGATAGAGAATTATTAATGATAAATGAATAATGATAATAATAATATACTTTCTTTTAACATGGAGACCCTTGATTCACCCAATTGGTGTTTTTCATTGTTCATTCATAATTTTAAAAAAATTAAAAACATAATGAATTAAAGAAAACTACAAAAACACAGCATCTTAACTACTACCAGTGAAACTATGTTGTGCCAGACACTAATCCGGTATTTCTAAGTTTCCGGGTGAATATTACTTACAAAATATTTTGTCACTGTTGTATCTATCATTGTAAATTTGTGAATATGTGTAGTGTAAGAATGTTAGTTGGTGGGAGTGGAGGGAAGAGTTGTAATGCAATGAAGCTATGGTCTATTTGCTTAATAGGATTTTCCAATCATCTTCTATTCAATGTACGTTATTTGTAACACAATAAATATTTTAGATGAAAAAATATAAACCTATTAATATTTTAATTATCCTTCCTTAACAGCCTCGTAGCACTTAGGTAAACAGTGCACTTTATGGTGATCCTATTAATGCTGATGGGAAATACCAAGTTTAATGTATACAAAAACTAGATAAATAACAATTGAGATAATACCGTATGATGATAAAAGAAGTTAAAATCACATGATTTCAATTTTTCAGATTTTAGCGACCAAGGCTGAATGAAAATAACCTTGAAATATCCACCATGTTTGGACAATTCAAAGAGAAACTACAGCTTGTACAGCACGATCTATCAGCCAGGTATGTACAACTGGTGTTTACAATCATTTTTTACATTGGGCAAAATGATATTAATGTGTTCACTGATAGGGACGTTAGTTCACGTCTGACAGGGTTCACTAAGGCACATCTGTCCAATTATTGTATTGCACATGTGTATTGCACATGAACAAAACATGAATTGCACATGAACAATTTAATTCCCTGGTAATGGTTCTCAGAACACAAACTCTTACCCTGGAGTTTCAGAGAAGGACCTGGAAGTACTGTAATGATCTGAAAATAAGTACTGATTGTTCGTGTTTCACTATAGTTGATGGAAATGATTTTCATTATGGTGGTGCCCTTTATGCCTTGAAGTATGGGTTGGAACTAGGAAAAAGGCTTGGCAGTCAGCAGAGGTGCTTATTCCCAATTTATGAGGCTCTAGGGGTGGGGGAGGCATTTATTCAAGGCCGCTGTTTATTCAAATAATACGGTATATACTGTAGCTGTTTTGTGTATACACTATTTTTGCCATATAACAAAATTGAAAATTAAGGCTCTTATAAAAAATAATATAGTCATAAAATTATTAATGGTAGTTGAAACAATGGGTTCAATAATGAGAAGAAGTAATATTGCAATAATAATTAATAATTAGTCCTAAAGTACAATAATATTTACAATAATAGTCCCACTAATGGCCATTTAATGTAGTAAAATGAAAGTAATGCAGCATTGTATAATAAGTGAAATAAGAAGTCAAAGGGTATAAATATAAAATTATTATAGTTGTTTATATTTGTGACATTATGAATCAAAATTCAAATGAAAGTGACACAAGGCATTCAGTGTAATTCACATGAATCACAAGGGCTTGTATCACTTTCTTCAGGGTTGGTTTCATACTGTCTTGCGTCAAACTTAAGGCCTGTCCACACTATCACATTTTTTGTGACAAATTTGTATATTGTGACAAATTTGTGTCATGTGCCCATATATGGGCATAATGATGTAATACTACACAAATCTTTCAATTGGTTTACTGGTCTCCCAAGAATTCCAGATTTGGTAAATATATTAATTTGGTATTAATATAAATTAAAGTACAAGATAATGAAAGAAATGATGAAAAGAGTTTTAAAAAATGACAAATTACACCAAATGTGGGAATATCAGAGTTATTTGTCACATAAAATTTGATAGTGTAGGCAGAGCTTCATTTTTGTTCTCTAATATTGATGTGACAGTGTGTATATATTCTATTTTTTTAATTTAGTTTCAAGTCACTGACCACCAAAGCAAGAGAAGTCGGTATTGGAAAACGGTAACTACATTTTCTTTACAAATGATAGCACCATAAATTAGCACAAACTGCTTAATAGTAGCTCCCCTTTTTAGCAGCTATCCAAGAATCACTTTCATATACTGTGTGATGATTATAATTATGTTGATCGTAAGCATTAATTTTAGGTTTGATAATCAGTAACGGATCCAGGAATCTTGGCCAGCTGTCTCCCCCTTCCCACTTGAATCCAACACTGATGATTAAAATTGTTCTATTTCAAAAATGTTTATAAGGGGGTAACTCTTTCGTCTAGATTTGTATTTGAGGGCGCTCTACGATTAAAATCACAAAATGCTACAAAAGATTTAAAGTACAATCAAGAATTACGGTATATTATGGAAAACTTAAATCAATAAACTATATGATATAAATGTCATACGATGGTGAGGATGATTATGGTGACTGTGCATTTAGTTTAGGTTTTTTTTAATCTCTTGATACTTGGCAAGAATGCAAAGGATATTACCACCAAAAATGCAACTTGTTAAGTTTGATTTATATGTTTTTTAATGGTTGTATTACATAACAAAAATGAAATGGGTTTTTTGTGTTTGTGTTGTGCATATCTAAATATATTATCGGTGTAGCTTTGTAGTGTCTAAAATTTGAAAAATGCATCAATTCTATTCAGTTCAACGAGAGGGGGGCGTAGGCCACAAGAGTAAAAAAAAAGGAGGGTAAAAATATGCCAGTCACTTGGATGGCTCTTTGTAATTGTTTAAATCAGATAACAATAAACGGCCACAGCTTATGACCTCCACTTGGGTCCTGTTGCTCGATTAGGCGGTACTCCAAATCCTTGCTTTCAGGGCCCAGGTAGCTGTAAGTCTCGGGTCGCAATTCCACTCTTGGCAAACCAGATGTTATACAATTACAAACAGCATACAACATTGATTACAAAATATGAAACCTATGGATATAAATTTCAAGTGTATGGGACCGGTTCTGGCAAAATCAGCAGTTTGCAGGAAAAATTTTGAATTGAGTTTTTGGTGGTTTTTTTTAGATTTTGCAAGAATTCGTCTTTAAAACAGTTTTTATTTGATGGAAATTGGTTGAGTATTAGTGAAGTTATAAATATTTAATTCATTGGATATCAGACATGTAGGTTTTGAGAAAACAACTTCCAAAGATTCCTAAAAATTAGTAGGATTTGTATCTTACACATAATTTTAATATACTTTTCATTTAGATTTAGTGATTGATAGTTTGCAGAAATGTTCTTCATTTTATAAAATGCAAAAACATGAAAAAGTTCAAAATTCTGATTCTTTCGTTTTGGGCACTTGTGGGAAATTAGAAATTGCGACAAATGGTGGGCTTTGCCAGAGCCGTTCACAAATAGTCAGAGATGTCATTATGATTTACGTTAATAATTTGACCTTAATCAGATCATCAGTAGAAATGATAGTGGCCTAAACTAAAGCTTGGTTTCCATACAATCGCTACACGCTATCGCCAACTGCTTTAAGTGATATAATCGGTGGAATCAGGGAGCCTTCCTGATTATGTTGGAGATTGCACTAAAAACACTGTAGCGACAATGCAGCGATTTTATGGAGACTATTCTTGAATGTCAAAATATTTACGCAATTGCATCTCTGACTGTAAATAGAATTTATTTATTTATTATATCTATATTATTTGTTTTTAAACTTTATTAATTTTACATTTAAGCAATACTGGGTAATTTTAAAATTAAAATTAGTATGAATGTTAAAGTAGTGAAGATACAAAAAAATATAAATAATAAGAGTAATTAGCATCCTGAGTGCTTAGTACAGCTTATGCTGTAAATTCCATCATAAGTCATTAGTCCTTTTAAAATAAAGCATTTCATTGATATGAGCTAATAAGTCACTTGTAAATTCAGATATGCTGTTTCTGTGTCAGAGGTCAGTATATACTGTATTTCACAAACAATTACACAACTGCTGGCATGACTTACAACCGTCTGTATTTATTTAAAGAGTCATATGATGATGATATCATTACATATATCATATCATATCACATATTTTCACCATAATACGAATAATAATTATGCAATTATAGTCAAGTTCTGAGGACCCTGTAGAAAATGGAGGCCGAAGGAACCATTTTTTCCTGAAAAAAAAAATTGCATGAAGCCTGCATGGCTGAAGGCAATATTTGACTATGAGCTTTTTGGCACTTAAGCCGCAAAAAATCGGTGGGACTGTATCGAATTAGGGATTGATCGGGGATAGGAAAATTCAGTGCAAATTCCTTCTATTATAATATGTTAGCATTTCCATATAATTAATTGACAGCCTTTAGAGTTTTGGAATTTTCACATGACAGTTCGCTAGGTTGCATGGATTAACCTATACTAATTAATGAGTATACTTTCCTTAACACTTGCTGGTACTGAACGTGAAAGGATAAACTGTGAATATTGTCATCCATAATCATTATCATTATTATCACGTACAAATATTCGACATGAGTAGGGGGATACCCGGTCTACTGGAACAGACAACCCCTGTGGTGGACGACGAGAGTTGCTGGTACTTGGTTACTGGGTAGCACAGACACGAAGGGAGCCTTAGGGGTGAAGAAAGTCATTAATCGAGTTCCTAGTCCACATATCAAGCGCCCTGAGTATCAAGATATTAGAGGGATAGGGCGCTATATAAAAATACACTATTACATACAATAATAGTAAAATTATTGCTTATTTATTAATTGTAATTATGGTGTGTGATTTTTGGTTAAGGTGCCTTTCTTTTAATTCCAGGGCCTTAGGTTCAGATACATTTATGTTCTGGGATATAAAGAATGTATTTGTCATAAAAGAAGGATTTTATAGTAATATTTTGTTTAGATTTTGTATAAATAATTACCTCATTATTCTTTCAGAGTTACAACAGATTTTAATGAGTGTCTTCCAGACAGGTATGTTTAAAATCATTAGTCCTAATGTTCTATTCTCCACTATATGCTATGACATGTGATGTGCTGTATGTTGTGTGGTCATGTATTCATTCATTTTTTCATGTGCAAAAAGTCAATTGCAAAATGCCATTCATTGAAATATTGAAAAAAAAAATAAAATTTACAGATTGTTAATTAATTATTGGAAAACACAACAATTTGGCATGTAAAATAAGATCGACTTACAAATTATCGACTTAGGCACAGTCAACTTTGGCATGTTTAACTGTATTTCCATAAAAAACTATACATACTGTAGAATTTGTTTTTGCTCTGAAACACTATTACATAAAACACTAAACTAAACAACACAAAATATGCCTACAGACTTCGCCATGTCCCTCTTGTACAATACCGTTAACTAGCGTTAAGTGCCTGAACGGCTGCTGGATATAGGCTGTTTCGGTACCTGTTTGTATGGTACATATTTGTTTGCCTGCTAATGTGTTAATGTTGTATTCTGTTACATGTTTGTTTTTTGGATTACCAGATTTTTTTGTGTGAAAAAATTCAAAGTAGACCCATGAAAGCCCAACAATGTATTTCTAGTGGGTCTTTCTAGTGGTGAAATACTTGATTTTGAGATGGTTGGGCTTGTGCAACACAAAGGAGTATTTTTTGCCTACTCCTAAATGATATGCAATCAGCTTGTTTTGTGTTATAATGTAATGCTATTCTGCTGTCTGCTATTATGTTATATTGTATGTGTTGACCTTGTTGTGCTATAATTTTATGCTGTCTGCTATTAAGAGTATTATTTATGCTCTTGCAATAAGTGTCGTCTGCTATGAAGATGAATGTTGACTACTGATGGTTTAAGATTCTTTGAAAATTCATAGCACATACAGCAGAATTTAAATTGTCGCTGGATATTTGAAAATGTAATTGGACTCGAGCCAGTCTTAATGTTTTCAAATTAGTCTGTAGTGTAATTTTTTAAAGGTACATTTGGTGTAATTGATGTTGTCCAAAACCGACAGATATGGGGACTTCATTTTTACTTTCCATTGGAGTTCTATGGTTTCCATGTTGTTTCTTCTCACCCAGGGATATAACATGTGGATACTGATCCAGCAGCCGATCTAGGAATTCAGAATAGAGGGGATCAGAGAGGGTCTTTTAGAGATCGGGGCAGGGCTCACATCTAGATGTGTATAAGAGACAGGATTTGTATCTTTCCCCTGTGATAAAAAATGGCTGTGTATGTGTACAGAGCAGTGCAAATTTCTTTTCATATTACTATACACCTGTCTCAAGTGCTATAACTTTGTATACTGAATGCTATCTAAATGTTTAGATTATTATTTAATCATTTATCACTGATGCATGTAATTCTGTCATATATGTTGGGAAGTCAGAATCAATCTTTTAAATTAAGATCAATATTTATTGATAATGTAATTCATCTTTTGTAAATGCATAATAAATTATAAAACAGTAATATATCGACATATTTTTTAACAGTTTGTGTCCTCATGCTTAGAGTTATGAACATGAAGGAGCATGATGAGAAAGTATGGCTTGCTCAATTCCGATATGAATAAGTGATTTTTAATTAATTTAAACTCATGCAATTTTTTAAACACAAAAGTGCGAGGGAGAACCTAGGGTGGGGGAGGAATTTTTTTATTTAATCAACTAAATCTGTAGATGCCCAGAAAGAATTTAAAAGGCTATTAATGTAGCAGTACTTAATAATAATACTGTAATATATATTATTATTAACGATTTGAGCTAAGTATCTAACCCATCTGTACAAAAACTCTTGTGGCAAAACCTGCAAAACATTGAAAAATGTTTAATTCAGTGAAATTAATACTTTAGGATCATATTAATAAAGGTCTAATAATGTTTATTTAGTTGAATTTATCTAGCATATGCTTTCTGCATCAGTACATGATTATCATGATCTCTCCCATGTGGCCTACATTCATGGTTTAAGTTTGCCTATTTTCCATGGTACAATAATTTTTTACATAGTGTATGGTTTGATTTTTTTTAGGTTTGTGTGCAAAATACCTCATTTTTTCATCACCGTGAAGATTTCGGCTCCCCGCAATGGAAAAACTGTTCTTTGATCCTTCCCTACCTGAATTATTGCAACTTGGTCTGGTCCAATACTTACCCTTCCCATCTTAATAAACTGTTACTCCTTCAGAAGAAAGCCGTTCGAATTATGTCGGGTGCACCTCCGTGAGCCCACACCGATCCTTTATTTTCCTCCCTTGGTCTTCTAAAAATTCATGACATCAATCATCTTCAGCAATGCGCTTTTATTTCTTCATGAGTAAATTTCTCTCCCCCACCCTTCAATTTAAATCATTACTTAATTTTAATTTTGATTATCATAGTCATTTTACCTGCTCTTCAAATCATCTTTATATTCCCTTTCATAGAACCACTTTTTCCAGCACAATATTCAATATACTGGTCCTAAGCTATGGAACAATCTCCCTCTCTCCATTTATAATTCCTACTCTAAAAAAAACTTCTGTTCAAGACTGAAAAAACATCTCTTATCAAGTTATGCATAATTTTCCCCTTTTTACCCATTCTCGATCTCCATTACCAACTTGTTACATTTTGTTTTTGTCCAAAAATTATAAAAGAAAAAAAAAATTGCATTTCTGAGCATCCTCGTGTTGTCTGCCTTGTCTCCTGTTGTCCTGTCCCCTGTCGTCCTGTCCTGTTCTGGCTTTGGATTTTCTGTGTGTTCATTTCAGGGCATCCCTACACAAGCTCCGCTTCCAGGGTTTCGCCCATCAAACTTGGATGGTTATTTATTATTTTATATATGCATTATTATTATTTTTGAGAAGTAAATGTTCTTTGAACTTGAACTTGAAAATTGAATTGTACAGTTATTGAAAATTGCTTTCGTAAAACAAAGGTTAATTAGAACCCAAAGAAAGTTACTTCAAATTCAGTACTAAGTATGAAAAATTAAGGAATTCCTTGAATCAATGAACCCTAATAAACTAGACAAACTGAATGTTTAATAGGAGTATTCTATTTTAAAGACTGAAGGAATGAAATTAGATGTACAGTAAGCCTACGGCCAGGCAGAAGGCTGCCGAGGCCGCCTACTAGCCTAGTCTGGAGCCTCATTTGGAATAAACGTCTCCCTTAAATAAATGCGCCCTGGGGCGTTTATTTGTTTCTTTGAATAAACGCCCCCTAAACGACTGTTAAAAAGTCTAATGGAAGCAACATAATTTTCAGCACATTCTATTAAGTCATGTTCTCACGATCACACCTATCTGATGCAAGTTAATGAGAAATCCAGTCAAGGCCGCATCACATTTATAATGTTCTATTTCAGTAGATTTTTTTTAACCTTGGTTGGGAATAGTGAGTCTTTATTGTCACACAATAACACATTGTTAAGGTAATTATGTGTTGTACAGTAGTTACACATTAATTTTACAGTGACGTTAAGGAGCATTTATTTGAGTAAATAAGTATCCATTTTATACCAAAAAAAAAAGAACACCTCCCACGAATAAATGTCTCCCTCGAATAAACACCCCTCAAATACCCTTATCAACAATAAACAGCTCTGGGCGTTATTCATTTAAGTATTTCTTTTAAGTTTATTTTTGAATGAGAATGTACATAACTTGATCGTTAAGGTGTTTGCATGTTAGACAATATTTTCTCACAAACAAAAAACCACTCTACTTCTAAAGCCTCATAAGAAGACTTTAGTTAAATCATTTTATGTGTATGTTTGTTTTGTTATTGGCAGCATCTATCCATCTTGTAATTGGCAATGTACTTGTAGTCGCTGTTGGATGTGTATTAAAGAATAAAAAAGCAAAAAGTTAATGATTGCTCTAGGAAAAGGTATCTGCAACAAATTGAAAACTGCCAGTTAAACTGTATGTGTCTAGACAGTCTTAAAGTAGATGTACTGTAAATGGATGGAGGATAAACTGCCACAGTTGGCCTACCATTAAAAGCAGTAGCGGATTCAAAGGTTGCGGGTGGGGGTGGTCCAGCCAGCTTTTCCCCATCCCACCGAAATTACAAAAATATAAAGAGAAAAAAAAGAAAATTATATTCAAAAAGAATGCCATTTCCGGCCATAGTATCATTTATTATTGGTGTAGATCCTCAATCTGGGAAAGTCCCTCTCTGGGCCCCACTCTATTTCAAATTCTTGGATCCACCACTGAAAAATATAGTTGACGGTTTATATATCATTGTCCACAAGACATATTTTCTATTTCATCTATTTCAATACAAGAAGTAATTACAAAACCGCCGGTTTACTACATGCATTTAAATATTTTCTATCTTGTAGTAGACATAAATGGATTGATGATATTTGTCCATAAGACATATGTTCTATTTCTTTAATTGCTGTAGAAATGGAGATCCACAACAAAATGCAATCAGTCTATTGAAAACTGCCTGACATTAACTTTTATGTATCTAGACAGAATGACCTGGAAATGATTGCAGGGTCACTACAATACAGCTGATAATGATATGCGCCAGATCAAGTAGCTGAGACGGTCATGTGATCAGCTCAGGTGAGCTGATGTCTGGCCTGTGCAACGACATGCTTGTTTGCACGTAGGCTGCTGTAAGGCAATCTCTATGAGGCTTAACCTAGTTTTATGCTGATATTATTTTCATAGAATTAGAGTATTAAAGATATTTACAGGTTTATTGAGGCCTTACCATTTGATTGACATAAAATATGCAACAGTTGCTATTTAAAATGACATGTGAAAATGTTTGTTGATGTTGGTCAGATTGTATCCTAGAGATTTAGGTGCTGCCAGTTAAAGGGGAGGGCAGTCAAGCAGGTCAAGCCTCTCTATAATATATATTATTAGGAAAACATGTATAACAAATATAAATATAATGTATGAAACATGCATATATTAACATGCAGGAAAACATATATAAATAAATGATAGTCTAATATATTATGTTTATTATTGATATGTTGGCGTTGTTATTATATTATTATGCTAAAATTGTAACAGTGTAAAGAAAAGAGGAATATTATTTAAACATGTACATGATTATTGTAATTAGGAAAAAGCTGTACCTAAAAAAAACTCCACAATAAATAAATGAATGATTAAAAATTTAGAATGACGACAATGATAATTATAATCAAATAGATTGCGTCTGCATATAGTTGCCTTGAATAGCTTAGAACAAGAAAATGTTTTTTTGAAAATACATTTAAAAGCTGGACTGGAAAAATGTATGTACCGGTAATCGGGTGACTGGCAGTCAGAGGCACGACACGTTTTCACTGAGGCATTTTTCCTTTTGTCATTTACATAATTACTGCTAGGCTATAGAAAATAGCAAAAAAGAAAATGTTTCATGCTGGCGGCATTGTATAGATAATTTACAGGGTCATAGGCAAATTTTTCTCCGAAAGTCTATCAACAAGATTCATAGAAAACATTAAAGACATAAAATGGTGATTACATTTGTGAACTTAGATGTGATGTTTTTTTTCTTTCCATTCTTTGATTTTTATCTCAAGCTAGACAGAATAATCACTGATGACTTGCTTAATGCAGCTTTCATTATTGTATCCTGAATCTGAATTTTAGCTGATAAGCCCATAATCTGTCTTCTTGTAATTTAAAGAAGACTGTGCCATTATCTTTTAATGATTATCCAGGGGTCCATTTGTCACCTCACTGTCTGATTTATCATATGACAGATACAATTATGTAATTAAACTTTAAGTAATTAAACTTTCTTATTCTGTCTTTACATGTACAGTACATTATTTATGTTGGAGCGATGAGGCAAGATTTTTTTATTGCCTTGTTTTGCAACCTTATTTTTTAAAAAGATCGTCAGAGGAGGGCTGGAAAAACAATTTTTGTTTTCTTAGCAATTACTATTGCCAAAAACATAAAGATGAAAGAGAAAATGAAAATAATTTTTTTTGTGAATGTAAACAGTGTAGTAATGGGATAGTTAAATGCTTTAAATTTATATAATTAGGAAGAAATATACATAACTTATTTTTGGAGATTTTAAGGCAGCGGCAGGCCTGATAAAAATTAAACAAAAGCCTTTTTTTCTTTCCAATTTTTGTGGCAGCCAAAAATAAAATTTTGGCGGGTTTGATAAACAAGGTATGAAAAGTCTCGCCTGAAGAGGAATAAGTAAATAGGTTTATCAGTCCTGCTTCTGTCATCATTATTTGGGAGCTTTCGATTGCACGATGGTGGTAGGACGTAGAGTGTAATTAGGATGATGCAATTTGGCCAAATCTACATATGCAGAAAACGTAGGACACCCGGTAGGACAGTCATGCTTGAGTGATTCCGTTCTAGCGTCACGTCGTTGAACAGATCGAAAGATCCCTAATATCATCAATAGCATGATTATAATCACCATTATTATAATCTTCTCTTTGATCTGTGATGTACAGAGTGTCCCTTACTGACTTTGCTTCGATTACTGTAGTTAAAACAAGACTTTTTTATACCTTGTTTAAGGAACCCTCTTCCAACTGCGGATAATAGTGTTTTCGAATAAACATACAATTTTATTTTTGACCAGTTAATGCACCCTCTGCCACGAAAAATGGAAATTGTTAAAAAAAAAAACCGATCTGTTCCCATGAAGTCTCCAAAAATAATCATATATCAACTTCATTACTAATACACTGCTTTACATTTATTAATAAAATGTTTTTATTTCTCCTCTGGCTAGAGGATTTTGGCTAACTCGTTTCGCTAAATAAGAAAACACAATTTTATTTCTATTTTTTTCCGTCCTCCTCCAATAATCTTTAATAAAATTAGTGTGCTTGAAAGAAGATATTAAAATAGTCTAGCCAAAGGGTCAATAATGTATGCCAATCTCATGATAAATAAATAATTATTACATTTTAATGTTCGTCATGTAAAGCAATGTGTTTTTGCTATGTACGGACTTAATACATTCATAGAGAGCTGCAAAAACCCTTCACTTTGCTGAGAATTTAGCTAAGTGTAATGTGTCGGTCTTGTAAAGCGCATGTTGAACAAAGGCCTCTGCATTTCACATCTAAATGTGTAATTGGACCAAAGGCCTAAGGAACAGCTCCCTGGGGGAGTATTCTATAATATCGCAGCTACGGTATACTAATTACCACCGTCGTGAATGTTATGTACTGTATTCTCTATCTGTCTCCATCTGTAATGTATGCTAATAGCAGGATTATTTGAATGGATCATCATGAAATTTATAATATATTGTTTCCTAATAATAAATATACTATATAATTAATGCTTGCGGTACACCACGTAGATAGTTGTTGGTTGAGAATATCTCGACGTTTCGGTTGACTTGCTTCAACCGTCTTCAGGAGAATAATATATATTATATACAGATATATTTTTATTTTGGCGGGGAAAGCTCCCCTCTCACCCCCCACCTTGGACTTGCTTCAACCGTCTTCAGGAGAATAATATATATTATATACAGATATTATTCTCCTGAAGACGGTTGAAGCAAGTCAACCGAAACGTCGAGATATTCTCAACCAACAACAATAGTTCTTTTCAGAACTATCTACGTGGTGTACCGCAAGCATTAATTATATATTATACTTCGCCATGCAAACCTTCAAACAATAAATATACTGTAATCAACTAATGTAATTATTTGAATTATTTAAAAAAAATGAATAGTAATAATGATGAGAATAATGAACTAAAAGTTTTACATAAGATATTTTTTCAATGTGATCTTATTTTATTATTTATTTTATTTATTTCCAAAAATCAGCAAAATACGATAAAAATTCAGAAGACAAAAGACCGAGGATTACCTATTAAAAGCAAACTTAATCACTATCTAAATGGTTCGCCAGTGAACATTAAAGAAACAGACAAAATATTACAAACACAAACATAAAAAGGTGATTAAATTTCAGTGAGAAAAAAAACAAATTAAGAAAAATACAGTTTTCTTTGTAATAATAATGATATACAATTAAGGAATTGTATTTATTTTTTTTATGTAGTCCGATCAAAATCAAACTATGCAGATATGAAGCAGGTGCTGAACTTCTCAACAAGTAAGTCCTCTTAAAAATAATTTTATGTTCTGTGTGCTTATATATGATATTTCGGTTGAGCACATATTATTTCTACTCCGACTAAGATATGTATATTATAATGTAGTAATGTAACAGTAGCTATAGTAATATTTTAGCAGAAGTAAAAATAACTATAATAATAAGTAAAATAAAAAGTAGTTATAAAAACTATAACTTAACAGGTATACAATGGTCTCCCTCCAATTAAGACCACTTTTCTGTGGTCCCAAATTAACAAATGTCTTTTATCCTCAGGGGTTCCAAGGTGGGGGGTGAGAGGGGAGCTTTCCCCGCCAAAATAAAAATGATATGTACTGTATTTTTAAATAAGCTTTTTAGAGGCTTCGCCCCCCTGGAGCACTTTCGATATATTTTGATAAACTCTCGACTGCGCCCAGTTTGCTCCCGTCGGATCTAGATAGCCTAAAATGGCACGCTCAGCCTTAAATTTGAATACGATTATCTTTTTCTCTCCATTTTTTAAATTTTGAAAAAGAAAATTGGAGTGGGGTGGGGGTCCCTCCTGAATCCGCCGTTGATCTGGTTAATGGGCTTTCATAACATTTAATTTTATTTTGTTGCACATTGTGATACACGTCAATGACTTTTATATGATAATTGATGATAAAACAGTGAATTATGAATTTGCAGGATATGGGTTAATTTCCGGGATATTCTGGCTTGCTTGTGGGAGTGTGGGAGGCCGTCCCGATTTCCTGGAGACTCCCGCGAGTTCCAGGAGACTTGGGACCCCTGCATCCTTATTATTAGAGACCAAAAGCTGCTAAAGCCCCAAAAATGGTCTTTAATTGGAAGGAGACCTGTAATTTTAAAGGTATAACAGGAATTTATAATGTACTGTCCTAACTATGAATATAAGGTGCTGAGATAATAAATTAAGATAATGATGTATTGTTTAAATTATACTTGGAACGTTTTTTTATATACAGTAACATGCTATATTTTTATCATTTTTATTCCTTCTAGATTCCAGTCATCTTGGGTGGAGGTACATAATGACATTGAAACGTCAGCCTCAAGAGCAACAGTAAGTTTTTGAAAAGTAATGATAATATGGATGATGATAATAATGGTGAGGGTAAGGGGGAAAAAAATTCTTGTGTTTGCTACGTTTTCGGAAAATCTAAAAAATTAGTAGGTTGGTAAGAAAAGTTTTTTTTCCCCCCCCAAAAAATGTGTTTATGCCTAAAACAAAGACCATTTAAAAATCTATATTTAAAAGCAAAACAATCTCATTAACACTGTCCCATCAGCTGTGTGCAGCAAAGGTAGTCTTATTCCAGAATTTTTAGCTCATTAAAAAAAAAAAATTTTTGTTGCAGTTTTGTTGCAGGAAAAAAAAAAAAATAAATAAAATGCAGATCCTCAATTTTGTACATTTTGGGTTGGTCGGGTGTTGCTAACACAATATTTTTTTTTATTTGGCCTAATGCGAATGATAGGGTGAGTCAAGTGGAAGAGGCACCGCTACAAACCAGGGGGTTCCCCAATGTTCTGGTGTGAAATTGTGTGACCGTTAAACTAAAGCACCTTTTTATGCCCCCCCCCCCTCGAGAAGTCGACTCATATAAAACACTCTCATATGCAATAACGATGCAAGTTATTGGCTATTTTCCTACCTTTCAACTTAAAGGTAAAGAATTTTAACATAAAACATACTCAGTTTTGATTCAATTTATGAACTAAAATTCAGTGCTCAAAATAAAGCTTGATCTGATCTGTGTAAATCAATAACTCATTTTTCATGTTTGCCACCAAGAGACTCATTTTGTGATGACGCTTACCTCATATATTAAATTATTATTGATAAAAGTCTTGCAAAATGTATTTGCCCTCACTGGTATGTGAACTTAGGAGCCACCAATCTCCATGCATTAGCTATATATACTGAGGTCAACTTCGTAAAGATCAACATTGAATTCAGGAAAACCAAATTATGTTTTATTGCATTCACTCTGAGTCAGTGGTGTATCTAGGGGGGGTGCGGGGGGGGGGGTGGGGGGGGGGGGTAATTACTTGCACCTCCCACCCAGTTTCCCTTTCAAAAATTATGGTCAAGTAATTAAAAATCACCTTATTTTGCAAATTAGCGCCCCCTCAACTGATCATTGAGGAGCCACCACTTCACTGTTGCGCCCCCCCCCCCCATCAGCACTCTCATTTCAAGACTTCTAGATATGCCACTGCTCTGAGTTAAATTCATCTGATGCCTGTGAGTGAATATAATTAGAATTGTGTTATCAGTATGTTTATATGTTTAAAATGATCAGGAAGTCTTGATATACTAAATATTTCTATGGATGATTTAGGACTGTCTAGACTTTATTGATTGCAAATTGTTATAGATTTTATTACTTGGATTATATCAGGGAGTCACATGCCTTTTTAAGACTGTCGGAAAGTGACAGTGATCAATTAAGAAGAATAAAATAACAATAAATATATACAAGACCCCAACAGACGGTAACCATTTTACCTTTTTTTTTTGGGTCACCCTTGGTATCTTGTCTGTATTTTGATACTGAATAAAATCAATCAATACATAAAGGGAGCTGTGGTTGGGTTGATTATACCAGGACCCTGGGTTCATATCCTATAGAATCACAGAATTTCTTTAATTAAAAAAAAAGGTGAAATGCCTAAATATGGTCATGATGACATCACACCATGACTATATATGGGCATACAACAGTTTATTTGTTAGAAATTAATGTGATAGTGTGGACAGTGGTTTAGCCTCACATTGAGACCTATTTTGCAGAGCATCATATAGGTCAACATTGAATATTTATCTTATTGCATAATGGCTCGTCGTAGCCATGTGGCTGAATGGCGCAACATAGTTCCAAACATACCATGCCGTTGGATATAAAGGAATTTAAAATATATAAATCATGCCTTTGTGCCTGATGGCTGCCAATGATGGTTAAGTCACTGTCATGTTCTTCTGATGTAAGTAATAAGTGCTGTTGAGACAAAAAAACAAAAATGGGATAGATAAGTGTATTATGATGTATGTTTATAATGCTACTATCCTTAATAGGCAAGAGTCTATTTATAAAATGCATACAAACATGTAAAAGTAAAAAGAAAATCCCTAAAACACAACGGTTCACCAAGCCAAGCACATGCCTGGCAGATCGCCTAAAAAAGCCAGCCAAAGCTTATTGAGAGGATCACCAAGAAGAAACATATCTTTTCTTTTCTTGAATACCAAGGTGTTAATTTTTAGATCATTGAAAATAATAGGTAGGTCTTAGAGTATTTTTTTTACAGATTATAAAGATCTCATAATTGATTAATTAAGCCTCACAAATCCCTACATTATCCTATCTGGCAAATCCTGGTACCACCACTACTAGTTTAATTTGTTTAATGTATTTGCTGTCACTCAAAATACTAAAACTGTTAGATCAAACAGTTATATCGTAGTATTAGACTTTAAAAAGCCAAGTAAGATTTTAATTTTTGATTAACTAGTCTGGGACTGAACTTTTCAATAATAATAATACTTTGTTTGGTCGGATATTCAGGTTGGGTAGCCACAGTGCAACGCCACCTAACTTAACTACAACATACAGATACAACTCTCAATATGAGGGTCAATCGAGGAGCTTAGCGATCACACTCCAGTTTGAACCCGAGTCTTCAGCAAAAGAAGCAGCAACAATACCTCTCAGCCACTTATTCCACTTTTAAACAAATCTGATGGTATGCCTTTTACTTTGCTCAGGCTGTGGATGCACGTCTGCATGGTGTTCTCCAGGGCTATGAGAAGAGGACAGAATCTCTCCACCAACTGCACAAGCATCTGCAGGACCTGCCTACTATGATGCAAGACATTCAGAAAATGACAGTGACAGTAGGTAAGTATGCAAGTGTAAATGTTCCTGGGGGGGAGGCAAAGGTTGCAGCGCAGAGGCGGGTGAGATGGAGACTCATATTGGACACTCCATGCTCCCCAGGGGGCCAAGAGGATAAGTGGGTAGTAAGTAATATTGGACCCTCATTGTACACACACATCTACAAACCATGATGGTGTTTGATTATTAATTTTGATGATGATAAAGATGGGAATAGATGGTTATGTTGTTGATGATGATTAGTGGCTGAAGATGACAACATCAAAGATGACGATGTTGAATGTGGTGATGATAATGATGTCCATGTTGATGATAATGATGATAATAAATGCAGTAATATTTTTTTTTTTGATGGATATAATATGATAATTATTAAATAATGACATCAGCATGTCTTTGGGACAGGATACATAATCCAAAATGTCTTGGTTTTACTCAGGCATATAAGTAAGTATCTGGTGGTTTTCAAATGCCAATGCCCTGATTAATGTCTGCAATTATATGAAATACTCCCCTGAGGAGTTGAGAATGTCTTCCATATGTATTTGCCCAAATGACTTATGTACAGAAATAATGTAAATCACATGAAGAAATGTTGGCCATATATTCTATATAAATATCAACCATTTTTTTTTTGTAGGGCGATTAGAAGCTTTCTTTGAGGAACTAGAGTGCATGATAATCAACTTTGAAGATCTTGTTGAAACAGAAGAATTCAAAATGAACCAAATTAATAAACAAAAAGAGTTACAAAAATATAAAACACAAAAAGAGTAAGTATAACATGAGGAATATAATAATGTTGAGTACAAACAATAACAAATAGCAGGCGCTGTTACATCGATTGTATTATTAGCATGATGGTCATTGTTATATGATATATAATTACTTTTAAATTTTTCTTTCAATTTCAGTATTGAATATGCTAGAACAAAAGGTAAGCATGTTGTTGAAGCAAGGAGCCCATAAAGGCAATTTTCAAGCATTATCAATACCTTAACCACAGGTTATGATTGGCTGACCTCTCGGAGGTGCTGTAGACACTACGTTGTTTACTGGCAGTTAACTCTGTAAGAGTGGGTAAATCTGGCAGAGGTGCATGATGGGTACTACCACGAGATATAGGGGTGCCCTATTAGAAAACGAATAGAGTTTGAAAGTTGAGCGAAATTGCTCGAACATGCATCATAGAGATGAGATACTCTAACCGATTCCCCCAATCAGATAAAAGTAAACATTTTTTAAGGATAAGGCAGACACACACTCCTGCTGGGAGCCTATTTTTACAATTTTCTTGAAATAGGAATAGACCTCTAGAAAAAAAAATCCTGACTGGCCCACCCAGATTTTATATTATCACCATGCTTGGAAAACAATTTTAGTTTTGGCCTGATGGTAATTTATTTATTGCTTCTACTTTAAAAAAAAAAAATATTATTGCTGCTATTGTTTTAATGTTTTTCCTCTTTATCTTTTGCATATACCTGTAGTTAATATTATTTTATAACATTGCTTTTTATATTTCAATTTTTATCTGTTATCCAGCTCATCTTCAAGCTGAAAATGAGCAGATGTTTAAGGAGTTTGAAAAAGCTGAGGAAGCAAAGATGAAGGAAAGGCAACAGGCCTTTGAAGAGGTTTTTACTGCTGAAATGGATCACTATAAACAGCATGGCAAGGTTAATGGTCAGTATATTAGAAAAATATTTAGCTGCATTATGACATTTACATATATTACTGTACCTGTACTTTATACTGTATGCTAAATATTGTTTTTGGATTAAAATACTACTAATTATTGATAATAACATAATTATCTTATAAAGATCATTATGCCAATGAGGATTTTATTGGGTTTTATCCTGGTCATTCAAACTTATGTAGCTGCCCAGGAGTGGATTCCATAATTTGCATCCCTGTGGGATAGGCCTGGTCCCTATTATCAGACGATGAGATTGTCAGACCAAAAATAATAATTTACTTAAATATCCAAAATCCTAAAAGCACAATTTTGGCCATACTAAGCCATAAAAACTCTCCCCGGAACCCTACCAGATTTTTTGTTCTGGGGCCCTTACCCAAAGCTCTAGTCTGCCCCTTGGTTCAGACCCCCTGTCAGAAATATCAGATTTCTTATCGGCAAATTTCGGGAGCAACCACTGCTTATACAAACACAAGGACTGCTAATCCCTGATATTTTGAATTTAGCACAAGGTCGCTAACCCCTGGGTGTTTTGAATATTTTCAGAAAAAGTTGTCAGCAGAGATAAGAAATCAACTAGCTCTATAGATGACTTTGAGCTTCAAGTTGATGATAGTGACAGAATGGCTTTAGATGATTTCCTTGGAGCAGACATTACCACGACGACAAGGGTTTCAGGAAAAATACAAGAACGTGATGAGAATGATGAAGAGGAAGATGATACAAAGCCTACAAAACATGAAGAAATTAGTAATGAAAAAACACATCAAAAAGAGAAAGATGAAACTAATCAGGGAAAAGAAGAACATGATGAACAATCTATTTTGGGGCATGATGAAGAGAATGTCACACATGAAAAGAATGAACTTATAATTGAAGAAAAGAACGATAAGAGGTTGAGTGATAGTGAAGAGAAAACCGAGGAAGAAAATAGTAGAATTGAGGAGGCTGAAGGAATGGATGTGGAACACGAAGGTAACATATTTAACTTTAATAATATTGATACAAATTTATTATATATCTTTTTCTTTTTTGTTTAATCATCATATATTTTCTAGCATTTTACTTTTGAGTTGGCTCTGTTATTTTAGTTATCTATTTATACCAAGTGTAGGCGAAGGCCCTGATATAATCTTGCTCATATGAATATGGCAGAGGGCACATGTCATTTTATTTCACATGTGATGATGACTTAATCACTACAAAAATGTAGAGAATTAAAGAAGTCTGACGATGGCTGCAACATCAAACACAAGTTAAAATTGGTTATACAAAAAATATAATTACTACTGTATTAGTATGGTGTTTGTGATGAAACAATAAATTTTACACATACAGCATAGCAATTATATGCTATTTATTATAGCGATTTCATTTACACCACAGTGTCACCAGGGAGGCTTAAGTAATTAAATTAATTACACAAAAGCAATACAAACCATGAAATGCTCGCACCTAGGGCTGAAACATCACATGAACCAATCCACAACACGTCAGTAGTACCAGCCGGGGTATCTAAGCAATTAGGCCGGCTGTGAATGATCAGCTTGTATTCCAATCACAAGGCTAAGAACCTGTCCTATATGGGAAACACTACTGCACAGTATAGCCAAACTGCCTTTACAAATTATGATGTGTAGACTGCATGTGATGCACCATATACATAAATATACCATATCTTCCAATTTGTTTTATATATTTAGGTCATATATAAGACCAGCCAAACCAGTCACTCCTCGCAAAAAATAAATTAGTAATATATGGTTAAACAGTAAACTGAGAGCTATAAAATGGTAAAAGAATCATTTAAATCCGATATTTTGTTATGAAGTTACAGGAGTTTAAATATACAGCTTTTAGAACAGTACTGTATTTGAAAAATCAGCCTTCAAAGTTTATGATTTCCGGGATTTCTCGGGCAGAAACCATTTACAAATTGTTGTTTTAACATTGAAAATGGGGAAAATAACAACATTAGCATGATGTATGGTTATATAAAGGTTACTTTAGAGCAATGAAATAGATTTCCAACATGTTTTGGCTATTATCACTGACACACGATTTGTGACGAGTGACTGGTTTGGCTTTTTTGGCACATATAATTATTTTCCTCTAATAGATTTATTATTTACTTTTTCTTATTTTTCAGGTGATGGAAATGGAAATGAATGTGAAACTGACCAATCAACAAATTAAAAAAAAAACTTTAGTTTAGTTGCAGTGGCAATTAGGAAAAAACAAAACCAAATTGCTTTGCTCTTGTTTTAAATTCTCAGAATATATATTTGTAATACCACAATAATAAGTCAGACCAGATCAGTCAACATGTTTAAAGGTTAGGATGGTGGTTTTTTTTTTCATCATATTCCATAGAGCATGGTGCAGCTGTGACCCTCATGTTTACCCTAACCTCAAACGTATTGTACCAATGTTTGTTGGTGGAGTTGCCTGGAGACTTATGTGGGGTGACTAAGCCCAGCTTTGCTTGATATCTTAGGGTGACTAGAGGCTCTTCTGCCCAGAGGCTGATTGAGATGGGCCTACTGAGCGTGGTGCAGCTGATCTGTTGTCTATCAGTTCAATGGAGTATTGGTGCTACATACAGTGCCTATAAGGTTAACATCTCTGCACCAAGTACAGACTTGGTGCAGAGCAGATAATGGCTGTTCCCACGATATGCTGACTGTGAGGGGATGGCATGTAAGCAGGAAATGGAAAATTATAAATAGGTAAAATAAAGCATTATATGGATAAAAATATGGAACAGAAATATAAAATATGATATAAAATAAATATATAGTGAAGTCTGTAGCAAAGTCAAAATAAATATGCAGGAAATGTGGTATAGCTGTCTCTTATACACATCTCAAATATGTAAGTGGGCAACTGGAGTTCATCACTGATTTGTTTTTTTTTTTTTTTGGTGTCAAAATGTTTTACTTTACAATCAGTGCAGGTTTATTGTCTACTTGGCAGTTAACGTAAAAGATGGTTTTTAGCAGATTATAAAATCCACCATAAAGGTGCTATACTACCCACATGTAGCAGCAGGCATATTCTCATATAATTTTTTAAAATGAAATCTATAATTTTTTTAAATCTCTGTTCTGGTAATATTGGATTATTGGGTATCATATTATAATACTTAGAAATGTTTTAAAATAAATAATTGTTATATAGTTTTGCTTTCAGTAATCTGTATGATAAAACAATAGGTTTTCCAATATAAGTCTTCCATTGTATAATAATTATATATGTAATAAAATGCAAGTCTCATTGAAATATGTTATAAATGAGGATTATGGAAAGCATGATGGAAGATAGATGTACATGTGTGTGAATGTTCTACAAACTAAAAGTGTAGGCCTAGAGATATGTGGAACATTGTGTGTAAAAAAAAGCTGAATAAGCCAGTATTTTCCTGTAGACCAGTGTTACACAACCCACGGTCCACGGATAATTGGTGGTCCATCAACAATTTTTGAGTTAATATTCAATTTCCAAATGACAGATCATTTGATTTTTTGCCTCAACAATATTCCGCTCAAAAAGCTTGCTGCAGACAGTAGCAGAACTTGTTTTTCATAATTTATCTATGTGGCATAACCACTGGCGTAATTGATGCTCTCCCTAGGTTTAATTAATTAATAACTTAGAATATTAGTGGAGTGGTCCACAAATTTGTTCTTGGTGTAGCAAGTGGTCCCCTGGCTCACCCCTGGCAAAGAAAGGTTGCATAACACTGCTCTAGATTAAAAAAATCTCCACTCATAATTTGACTGTTTTATAATAGAGCACATTCCACCCAGTAAATGACAACTCTACTTGCTTTTGGAGGTAAAAATCTAATGAATTCAATCAAAAGGAATACATTTTTAACTTTGTTGCCTTGTGTCTGGTTTTGTGTACTGCCCTCTACATGATGGGGTATCATTTTATGCCAATAGTGTGCTGGACCAATTGATCAAAATTGAGATGCTCAATAAATATACAAATGTCTTTCATAATTAACTTTCATATATAAAAATAATATTTAATTTACATACATAATAAAATCAAATGGTGTTTTCTTTTAAATCATTATCATGGGTGATGGTATAGTTTGTTATGATTTCAGTTGTGCAATAAAAGCTAAATGGTCATCATAAAAATTTTCTTTTTTTTTTGTCTTCCTACTGGCCTAAGATCACCATGTCAGTCTTTGAGCCTAAAATGAGAATGTGCCTATGGTCAGAGGACTTACTCTCCCATCGGACATGTCAAGCCTAGATTTCCCTCTTCAGTCAAGTAGCGGGGAGGCAGGTGGCTTAGGCCCCCTGCCCACCGGCCAGCGCTCATCGGGCAGTCGGACCAAAAACAAAAGAAAAAAATAGCCCATGCCAAGCCAACACGTCTCTCACAGTTTGAGAGTGCCATTTCCGGCCATCCTGAGGTCCCTATTTTTAAAAATCTTGGGCATACAAGCTCATCTCCTGTCGGATAGCTTAGCACCCCCAGAAAATATATCCTACAGCCAAGACACCTGTCAATTCCATGAGCATAATACTGTACCTCTGGATCTAGACCTATCAGATGACACTACAGTGACAATATTTTTAAATATATAATTCAAAATAGGTGTTCTATCAACTGATTTACAGTACCTTTTGTAAAACTTCAAGAAATTCCAAAAAGTATGGTTGAATTGGATTTGTTCGTTTTGAACACTAATGATAACCCACAACCCGTCTTAATTTCAGCAATACACCAGAAGAAATTCCTGTAATCGGTTTTGGAAGAGTGTACTGCATTCTTTAACGTGCACATTGGCTAGTTGCATTTCAGCCCTCCAGCTGAAACACGGAGAGAGCGGCAGCAGTTGGAATTGAACCAGGTTCCAAAGGTAAACAACAGTTCTCTGCAGTTCAGCTGACCGAGCAATGCTGCTCTTCAAAATGGGGCAATTACACTTTTCTCAAAAATTTATTATCTTCACTGATAAAATATTATTGGACAGACACGGTCCATGCTTTTTTCACACTTTTGAACCAACACACTTACAGTAATTAAATATTTAACATAACGACATAGATTTCTACATTTAATGTTTTGATTTATTCAATCTGTAAACTAAAAATCACTGTCAAAAGTAAAATGTATTAGTGCTGATTGTCAAATTATTACAATAGTCATAATTGCACAACTGGTATCAAGGAATTTGCTGTATACAACTTAATTATACTATAATGTACCCAGTGGCGGATCGAGGAATTATAAATAGAGGGGGCCCCACAGGGAACTTTCACAGATGGAGAGTCTAGGCCACTTCAGCCCAACCGTGGTTGGGGCCAAGGTAAGAACATTTATGATTATGGCACAAGATTGTTCAAACGGCACTCTCGGACCATTTGAACATAATCCGATCCGGGGCCGATCGAGATATCACCAACCTACAGGCTTTTGGGGAAAAAATTTTTGTTTTTCAAAAGTTCAAAAATAACCTATATGGGGAAGGGGGGGGGGGAAAAGGGCCCCTGATAATTTTCTTTTTTTTTTTCTCTATTTTAAAAAATAATTTTGATGAATTTGGGGAAGGGCACAGCCAAATCTGCCACTGGTACCTATCTAATCACAACAGCAATAATTATTGGCAATATAATAATAACTCCAATAATAATTATATTTAAAATGATAACAAGTAAACATACCATGACTGTGCAATGATTGCATTAACATAACTGTAAAGCAAGACTTTTTTAATACTTTGTTTCGCGAACATATTTTTAAAAAGTTCGTCGGAGGGTGGAAAAAAATATAAATAACATTTGGTTTCAAATAGTTTTGCCAAAAACATTCAGACAGAGGAGAAAATAAAATTGTATTGGTAAATGTAAACAGTGTAGATGGGATGGTTAAATGCTTTAAATTTATATCCCTAAGAATAAATTATACATATCTTGTTTTTGGAGATTTCAAGGCAGGAGCAGGTGTAATAAAAAAGTAAAGAAAAACTTTTTTCGTGGTGGCGGGTGTGCGCTAATTGGCCAAAAATAAATAAATAAATTTTTTTACTGAAATCATCATTGGCAGTGGGTTCACTAATCAAGGTATATAAAAAGTCTTGTCTAAGTAATAATAATAATACTATTAATAACCATAATACCACACGGCCTATAGAATCAGGCAATGGTCATACTCTTTGCTTAGTGGAGCTGTAGCTTTAAGATGCTTCTCTTTCAATTCCAGGCACAGGCATATTTAGAATTATTGACATGGGGTGTTATGGGAGTTAGGGAGGTTAGCTTGGAAAATGTGGGGATTTTAAAGTTTTCAACAAGTGTATAAGCTTAGGGGGAGGGGGGAGTTTCTGGAGAACACAGTTTCTGGGGCCATGTCTGGGGTCTCAAGTTAGAAGTAGCCACTTCTAGGAGACTGGTTAAAGGAAGTCTGTCCGAATTTCCAGGAGACTTTGGAGCACTCCAATGCTCCTAGATATCCAATGATTCCAAGGTCCCAGTGTCTAAAGCCTAATTAATGTAATTGGTTTTTACAGCATTATTTCCATCCATGTAGTAATATTACACTAATAAAATGTAATAAAAATATTATAATAATATTATAATATTATTAAAATATTTGCTAGATTCAAAATACAGAGCAAAAATAAAGTAAAATATGTCCAACAATAGCATCATTTTACAATGTCTATAATTACATCTTTTGTCCACTTATCTGCCAGTTGTGTTAAGCTTTGTCTATACTATCAAATTTTGATAGTATAGTAAAAAAAAAAAGTGATGTGCCCATATATGGGTATGATGACATCATATCACATATCAAATTGTATCAAAAAAAGTTGAATGTGTTCAACTCTATGTTCCATCAAATTTTATGTGACACTTTTTTGATGAAATTTGATAGTGCAGACAAAGCTTTAAACTTGTAGCCCAGGCTTCTGGTAAAAACACATTAAAAAAATGACACTCGTAACATTATTAATAAAGGGAAATTTTTAGTAGTATTGAGGGAAGAAATTCCTGGTGCTCTATTTTCCTAATCCTTTGATACTAGAGGCAGTCCTCCAACGATGGTCAATATTGACAAAATTGCTGCATTGCCCATATTTCCTGAGTTTTCTCACAACCACATTTCATTTCTACCTCATAAAACATTAAAACCCTGTTTAAAATGCTGTTCAAATTAAGCACACAAACTAAGAGAATCATGATATCACTAAGCCTGTTGGAGATATTCCAACTAAATTCTGTAGGTTTCAGAGAGCCTGCTTAAGTAGTATATTTTGTTTTAGCTCAACCATCGACTTATGAGTTCCCCTACCCCTCTGAAAATGGCGGGGAAGGTGCCAACAAGTGGTCAAGCTGGGCGAAGGCCCATCCATCGGGGACACCTGTCCCAGTCGGCACCCCAAAACACTTAAAATATAGCATGAAGTATCTGCATGCTTTAGGTAAAATCTATGCATCATATAAAACCATTTGCTTAGCAATATTATGTGTGTGTGGTGGACAGAGCAAAATGTTCACAATCAACTCTAAAATATGTAATTAAATCTCTATACACTATAATACAATATATGGTAATTACAATACTATAATGCAGCATACAGTAAAAACGTACAATTATATTCCAAAAAGAAATGCGGTGAGGTTACCCTACTTTTCTATGGTTCCATCCATGTTGGTTCCCTACTTGACTAATGACTTGCCCCCCCCTTTCTATTGGGCCATGGTTTATCTGTATTCATGGCAATGTACTATATAATATTAATAAGCAACTCTTAGTGCAATTTACTAAAACAGACAACAAATGAGGTGATAGAGTACTGTGGATCATGGAAATATTTTACACTGAATATTATTATTATTATTATTGTTTACTTATATAGTGCATATCAAACTTCTCTATGCACATTACAACAAAACAAAAAAAGCATATGAATTACAGTAAAAAGAATTGATTTCTGTTAAACCGAAAAAAGTGACTACGGACAGAAGTCAGAAGAAAAGAGGTGTGTCTTCAGCCGCGACTTGAAAAGAGTAACACTACCGGCTTCATGGACTTGCTGTGGAAGGCTGTTCCAGACAGATGGAGCTGATGTTGAAAATGCACTGTCACCGTATGTGCTAGTACATGACCTTGGTTTATGTAAGATGTTGTGACGATGATCGGAGAGTCCTTGTTATATATAAGGTCAGATATTGAAATTGGGTGAGTTATATAACCTACATATAGTATGTGAAAGGAGGATCATGAAAACTATCCTTCGCTGCACCGGGAGCCAAAGGGGATGTTTTAACACTGGAGTGATGTGCTCATGTCGTTCAATCCTAGCAACCAATCTGGCCACAGTATTTCGTATACGTTGTAGTTTTGCAATCTCCGATTTTGGGAGGCATGCAATAGACTGTTACAGTAATCCAGACGCGATGTTACAAATGTACACAGCAGCTTTACTGTACATTCCTTATCAAGGCACTTCCTAATAGAGCTGATTTTGCGAAGTGCCCTTCAGGAAGTTTGACAGATGGAGTTGATCTGTGAAGTCATCTGAATCTAGAATCCAACCGAACACCAAGATTTTGGACAATGGGTGAAGCATCGATATTGTGGTGCTAAATACAGTATTCAAATTTTAAGTGGTTAATCAATTTTTCTTCATAAAAACTTAAATGAATCTACTGATACATTCTACATACCAAGTGTTACAGATAGCTCCGAAAATTATAGACTATTATCGAAAAACTAAAGTTAATAGTTAAACTAAGTTTAATGTACCAATTTTTATCTTTTTTGTTTAATTTTTGTTGTTTTCAAAATATACCTTTTTTAAATATTTGTACTGTATACTGTAGTGATTTTTTATACGGTTTGCCTTCCCAACAACAAACTTGTACTTTACTTTTACAAGACCAACCAGAGCCTTGCAGGCATCAACGTTCCTATGCATGATACATGGCTTAAAAAGTGTATAGGCCCTCTATATATATATATATATACATGTATATATATATATGTACATATGTATACACATATATATACACATATATATACACGTATACACATATATATACACGTAAATATATATGGGGAGTCTTTATGGCCCAAAATAGTGATTTTAATAATGTAATTCGACAGGCAAGTTACAGTAATATTTTTAGAAAATTTCTTTGAAAAAATTTCGTAGGCATAGGGCCTAGGCCTAGCTAGGTATACAATAATTTCATTTACAGTATTTGGAACGATATCAGGAGTGGGGGAGGTGGCAGTGGCCTACTAGGACTGCAATTTATTTGAAGCTATCTTGGGTCCGATCGTCCACACCAGTTGGGCCCAATCGTCTGTCATCCGAAGTTTTCATTACGATTATCAAGAACGTACACGATCTAGGCCCTGGGCTAGCTACGTATACTACTACCGCATAACAAAGAAAGCGACCAACGTGGTGCATTCTTAAATATTACACACATTATTTAATTGTATTAGACGACAACACGATATCATTCATTCAACGATCTAACTACCCTCGCATCGCAGTAATACTGAACTAGGCCTAGCTTAGACCTCACATTTTTGTGGAAAGCTAGATAGTCGTTGCCTTTATATTTTCACCTGTTTTCAGTTTGCATTCAAAAGGTACATTGCTGCACAGCCAAATGAAAAAACGATGTATTTCAGCAAGTATTAAAACATTTTAGTTTTATTTTAGGCCTTCTTCAAAATACCTATGCCTACAGCAATTGATTTTTTTTTGCCGTAAAACCAAAATATTTTCATCCATGCCGACTTTCCGGTTGGTTAGCGCGAGTCCTGACTGAATTCTGCAGAAACTTCACTTCGATCTTCCCATCGCGATGTAAATCAAAATGTCGGAAAACTTTTCTTTGACGCATGCGCATTTGCATAAATGTCTACACACACACGCACACACTACACACAATAAAAAACAAAAGGAATGTGACTAAGAGTGATTACAATTATTGCATTACATGCATAGGAACCAATAAAAGTGCTGCATTCTGCAACAGTAATACAGTAGCTATCTACCGACGAAGTGTAAAACCGGCCAGTCGCTGTGCACAGGCGTCACCTGACGCAATTCCAAATAGAATGCAATACCACGATGGCCGCGCAGCAAATCAGTTTTAATGACGATCAGTTCAGACTGCGACCGATGATAAGCAGACTATGTTGTGTCGTCTAACGCTCGCAGGGAACGGAGTTTGATTCTTCGGCTGAAGGTCATATGATGCAGTGACTACCCGGCTTAAAATGCACTATTTTCATCATTTTACAGCACTGGGTCTTGATATATTGCTAAGGTACCAGTAATTAGCATTATTTACAGTGTGTTTATATACAGCTAGTAGCAATAGCACAAAATAAGGAAACATTATACTGATCCTTTCAAAGCAATGCAACATTAATTGATTTTGACTTTTAGCGTATAAGCACAACGTTGTCTTTCGGGAATCTAATCGTCATTTGAATTTGAATAAAAGATCATTGGTTATTTTTATAAACAGTTTAATCAATGCCAAGCAGTCATTGATGCGCAGTTGACTTCCGAGTAATCTTCTTTCATTTGGTTAAGCGAAGTTTTATCCGTCATGATGTCAATTACTGTCGCTGCCAAAGCCTTTCCTACCCTCAAAGCACAATCATGCGCCAAATCTGTTCCTGCGGCCTCCGTGAATGATTCTGTATGATTCATCGCAGATGTTCCAATGCTAAACATGGGAAGCAGTGTTGGTATTACATGCGATACATTTCCGACATCTGTAGACCCAACCGGTATTTGTAGCTCTTCGCAGTCCTGTGTGAAAACAATTCCAAGTTTCTCCGCATTTTTTTTATAGAGGTGCGCAAGTGTCGCATTTGAACAAAGGTTGGAATACGGTTTTTCGTGGAAGTCAAACTCTATTTCGCATCCGGTAGCTTTGGCGGCGGCCACAAATGAAGCATTGGCACGCTGCTGTAAAACTGCCATGTCCACATGATCTTTAGCCCGTAAGTAAAATTCCATCACAGTCTCACTTGGTATAATGTTTGGCTTCACTCCTCCTTTAGTTATAATACCTGAAATAAATAATACCAATAATAAGATGCAAGTAGTTGCTAGGGCTAAATTAATAACACACACAAGAATAAGATAGTTTACTTTAAAAAGAAAATGATTAGAACAGCTATCAATAATTGCTAATTTTAATATATTTTACTAGATGTGGCACTTTCATTAAATGTGACATAAAGAAAAAACGTTTAGTGACAATAAATGTTTATTTATTACAGAACAATTCTGAAGAGAATTAGTAACATGTATTTCAATTTTGGAAGGAAACCCATTTTTCTTACCGTGAACTTGCATGAGAGGTTTCAATTGTTGTCGGAGTGCAGAGATGTTGTTGTAGCACAAGACGGCAGCGTCAAGAGCATTGCGTCCCTCCCACGGGTGAGCAGAAGCATGGGCCTGTTTTCCCTTATACTTTACACACAGTCGCATGATTGTTAGCATCACTGGTTTGCATATATCTAGAGTGTATGGTTGTGCGCTAACGGCAAAGTCCACATCCTCAAAAAAATGTTTCTTTATAGCATCCACTTTGCCGCCATTTCCTTCATGATCTGGACAACCCAAGACAGACACCTAACAAACAATAAAATTAAAAAGAAAATTGCAGTCCCAGTGGTGTATCATAATATTACCAACATTTTCACATTAGTGTGGTTCCAGGTGGTGTTGCTAGTAAACCACCACTTAATAAGGGTGGTTTACCTGTATCACCGGCACTTACCATCAACATTAAAACAACAATGGTGGTGGTGACAAGCCTAGGCACAGACCTGTACTCTATAGAGAGCCTAGGCCTAGTGCCAGTCGAACTAATAATAAGGCTAGGACTAGTCTAGAAATATACGTTTCTTACTTGGGAACCAGTCAATTTGAGCGGATGCTACTTCGAGTGAAGGCCAATTCAAGCGGAATTTTTTCTGAGCGGATGCTAGTTTGAGCGGAAGAAGATCCACTTGTGCGAACAACAACCTGTGCGAGTTATATACGAATTAGTTCAAAATTTCCTATTTTTGAGCTAGAAATTTGACATTTTCAAAGGGGAAGGGGGCACAAAACAGTTCCAGAATAGATAAATGAGTAGCATATCTCAATTACAAATATAATTTGAGCTAAAAATTTGACATCTTCAAAGGGGAAGGAAGGGGGCATACAACAGTTCCAGAATAAATAAGTGAGTAGCATAATTCAATTACAAATATAATTTGCTTTTTCAAATACAGAAACCCAACCAGTGGCGGATCTGGGGAAGGGGGGAGGTGAATAGGGTGGCTAGCCACCCCACTTTGTTTACCGTGAAAAAAATAATGGTCATTGTCTTGTGTGTGTGCTTCTCGTGCACTCTAGTAAAACATACACTTTCTTCTTTTTTAAACTGAAAAGTGCGCAATTCTATTATAGTTTCAACTTGTTAGCGGCCATCTTGGTAGTCGGAGTTGCCAAAGACTGTAATTCAAATACAAGAATACGGCGACGATAAATTCGCCCTTTTGTTATAGTTTGCACTAAATGCATCCGCTCGAACTGGCATCTCTTACTTAGGCCTAGACCTTAGCCCTCCGGGTGATGTGGCCTAGGCCTACGTCCTCAGCCTAATTTAGCTAGGCTAGCCTTGAACCCTAGCTAGCTAGCTAGGCCTCTCCTCTGGGCTAGGCTAGGCCTAGCTAGGCCCCTAGGGTAGTTTTCTTTAATATCTTGAATTTAAAATTACCTTTCCTTTTATTTTGCCTTGCTCAATCAAACTTTTGATAGCAATTCCTGCGGCTAATCCTGCCTCTGTAACAAGATTTCTGCCTGAAGCATGGCCAATCTCCGGGAGTGCATCATACTCCACCATCACGCAGGCATGAGCGCCTTCCTTCTCGCCTCCTTCAAGGCCATCTACTGTGGTGGTACCATACGTAGCTCGAAAACCAGTCGGATGCAAGTAGCTTTCTTCTACGTAAAATCCATTTTTCTCTAAAAAGTCAGTTATAACTTTATGAGCATATTTTTCTTCGTATCCGAGTTCAGGATTCTTCCAAATTTCATTGGAAATTTGTTTTAATTCAACCTTTTGTGTATCAATAACTTCCATCACGAGTTTCAATTCTTAAACCAATCTGACCGGGATTACATGTGACATTTAACGACCTTTACCCTTTTGGTGTGGTCCCTGGATTTTCGGTGACGCTTCACAAGCAGGGAACTCCCGCATGGTGATCACCGAATTTTCAGGCGAACGTTTGCTCCACTTAAAAGTCCAATTCTGGGACCGGAATTGCCATGGGCTCTATTTTAGTAGCTTGATCTCCAATTAGAATAATAGAAAAGGTATTCACAGAAAACTGGTCTTTGTATGAGACGCAGTGGCGTAGCTACAGCCGTGCAACTGTCTCTTATACACATCTAGATGTGTATAAGAGCCAGGGACTAGCCTAGTCTAGAAAT